GTTCGTAAGTAGAGGTACCTGATTACGTCAATCTGGGACCTTGGCAATTGGTTCACCCTTACAACCAGCTGCCAAGCGCCCTATGATCATGTGATCACCATTTGCAAACTTCCCTGCCACCTGTAAGGAATGTTAATGGGGAAGCTGGCAGGGAAGATCGCAAGCCGCTGCTGCCTGCTGTGATGAGTCCCTCTCATCTCTGAAGGCTGGCTGAAAAAGCTCCATGCTGAAATCCAAACCGGATTCTGGTATGGAGCATTTTCAGGCAGCCCCCAAAGTTCCATGCACTATACACCCCATGCTGGAATTCTGCTAGGATTTTCAGCATGAAGCTTTTTCAGGCAGCCTCCAAAGCTCTCTGTGCTAAACGCCCTATGCCAAGATCCTGCTTGGATATCACCACGAAGCACCGCACCCCCACGCACCTGACCCAACCTTCCCACACACCTCCATGCATCCCCTCGCTCTTTCTCCCACCTGGCAGCGCCTGGGGCTTGCAACTCCCTGCTGGCTTCCCCATTGACTTGATTATGGGAAGCTGGCAGGAAGTTGCGTTGCCTAACGACTGGGGTATTCACTTAATGATGGTAAACCGGGACTGCCAGGATTGCAGTTGCTAAGTGATATGGTCATGTGATGCTTTGCCTAATGACCGCATCACTTAGTGAAGGAAATTCCGGTCCCAACTGTCATCGTTAGGCAAGGACTACCTGTATTTTTAACTTTGCCTCATGGGATTATATTATTACACATGAAACACAGTAAAAGTAAATATTACACTAGATGACAAATACAAAGCATCATATACTTGGGTACCAATAAGCCTACAGCTACCTCATTGGGCATGTGCCAGATTGCCTACCCTACCTGGCTTTTTAAAATTTAATTTAATTTTTCATCAAAAACCAATGGGAAACTGGCACTAGGCTGTAATATTGTTTTGATTTACCATAATTTTTCTGGATACCACAGGAATTCTTAGAAAATGAATACAATTGATAGCTGTAGCCCACTGTTTTATTTGGAAGCGTGCTCACTAAATCAGAAAATAAATGGTAACCTGAGGTAGTAGGGATTATATTCTTTGGTAGCAGGGAACAACTTCACCAGTTTGTCTTTTGACAAATGGGTGTTTTGTGGTAAGGACTGCCAAGACATCCATTTTGTAAAAGCTTCAATACCACGTTCTCAACATTCCAATGTGTCCGTCTCCAACAATTCTACAGAGTTTTTATTTGTTCAACATTTCTCAGTTCCTGTTGAGGGATCCAATGTTGGCAACAGTTATGCCACAGTATTTACTATTTAATGTTAACTGAACTCAGAATAGCATTAGCATAAAATGATCTTAAAATGTAAAACACCCAAAATATAGAAGACCTCCACAAAGTTGAAATTTCTTATAAACCAATATAGAGTGTTTAGAGAACAACTGCACTAACAGGCAGTGCTACATCTAAGTACTCCAGTTACTTACCAATGCTTCCCTTTTCCTGCTCTTCTCTTTCAGTAAACATAGGCTGGTTTGGTAAGCTATTCCTAGAGCGAGTGACTGATTCTAGTTGTGAAGCCCTTCCCAACAGAGATAGCTCATCAAGCACCTCTCCCTCTTTGGCCTCTAAGTCAGATTTAGAAGTTGTTAGTTGTTTTATCGTATCTGGCATCATTAGATTTGGATCATTCAAGCAGGCTACCGCACCACTATCCAAGCTTAATACCCTGGTACGACTCTTGGCACTGTTTGTATTGTGAGTCTGTCGGGTTGAATGTTTTTTGACAATTGCATCAGAGCCCAAGTGGATTTTGTAAGAGTTTTCCAAGTCTGTGCCTCTCTCTTTGGCAATATATTTTGTCTTTAGGGCACTAAATTTTCCCTCAGGAGACTGGCACGAATGGGAGGTTGTGCTGGAAGAGCTATCACTGCTGAACTGGTGGGCTGACTGCATGCTCGAAGTTCGGCTCAAATCACTTTGATCACTTGAGTCTTCATCGTGGCAAAAACCTGCACTGTGGGGCTTGGTAGCAGACACACCTCGGAAGGAAATATATTCTTTGTGTCGACTTGTGTCAAAACTACTAGCCCGTTTTTTCCCTGTCCTTCTCCTGCTGGACTTTTGAGCTGAAGCTGTCCGATGAATTAAGCTACATGATTTAGGTCGCACATCCCCCTCTTTCTGCTTTTCTACCATTTCCTTACAAGTTCTTGAGTCAACCATGGAAGATTTCTCTTTATGCTCATCTCTTCCTGCAGCACGGTTTCCAGAAGGCTGTTCTACTTGTGTTGTTAGTTCATTTGCATGAGGATTCTTATTCGCTTCTTCTGAAGCAGAGGTACTGAGGGCCCTCTGATTGTGCATCTCCTCTGATGCATTCAGGCATTCTTCTACCTGAATGCAACTGCTGGTATTAGTTTCAACTATAGTTCTTTCCCTACTCGTCCTTTTGTTAGTAGCAATGTTACAATCATCAGAATCAACAGTGCAGTCTTTTTTCTTGCTGCTTTTTTTCTCTTCTTTAGGTGACACCTCATGCTCTGACAGCATGCTTTCTATATGAGTAGAACTTGTCTGCTCGCTTTTATAGCTGCTGACAGTACTGATAGTGTCACGATCAGTCCCACTACAGTAGCTCTCTGTTGAGCCACTACTTCTTGTACTCAGGCTTCTCAGGCTATCCACACTTTTATCTGCTTGTAAAGATTTACTCTTGCTGCTTTTGGCTAGCAGCTGTGGACTGCTACATTTTAGAATATCATCCAGTTGAAATACACCAGAAATACATGAGTTCTCAGCTAACAATTCTTTGGATCCTGTTCGAGGCTTGCAAGCTTCTAATTCACTGACAGTATCCAGCCCTCGTCTTTGCTGATAGAGAGGAAAGTCATTTAGTGATACATCTGGAAATGCAACAGCTGAACTGGAAGTCCTTGGCACACCTCGTGGCCTATGATCTTTTCTATAGGAGTGTGAATGCAAGGGTACAAGAGAAGCCATTTCAGTGTCACATGCACTGGACACAGTAGGATCTATGTGGTGATTATTAGGAAGGCACACTTTATCGGTGCTGTCCCTTGATAACTCCTGTGCAGTTGATAATGAGGGTTGAATGGACACAAAGGAATCAACGGAGACCAGATGGAAAGTCTTCCGGTCAGCTGCCAAATCTGCTTTAAAAAAACAAACAAAAACATTTAAGAAGTATGCCTATAGATAAATGCAAGACAAATGCCTATAGTAGCTTCCTTCAAATGAATAAATTTCCACAGGCTATTAGCAGAAATAGTATATTCACATAGTACTCACACTAAGAAGCTGCTATACAATATCTTTTATTCTAGATTCCTTTTTCAGCTAATTTGCATACAGAATCTGCTCTAATAAATATGACTAAAATTCACAGTCTTTATGTCTATCGCTTTCTTAATTATTCACCATTCAGCAAGGCTATGTGTGAGACCATTACAGTCTACCAAAACCCTAAACAATGACAACCAACTATTATATGGAATTAATACAAGCACTAAAATTAGGTGGAATAAGCATTTTAAAAAGTAATGCCAAAAAAGATTTAAAGAAGAGAGTTGCACCATATGCCATTTCAATGGAAGGTACCAAGTCAATATACTTTTAATATTTTTGAAATATATATAGATGTGTCAAAGAATAAAATATCAAATGCAACCCAATCTTGCCACTAACAAAGTTTCACTCACAGAATTGGCCTATGGAATGGGGGGGGGGGAGAAAGGAGAAAAATCATAATTTCCTCCTTCTCCCCAAATTCCTAGCAACATCTCCAGTGTACACTCTGACCTTCTGGAACAACTTTCCAGGGACAGGAGGTACATAAAGTATTAGTAAAATCTCCTCTCTCTATTTCTTTCAACAGAAATCCAACCTGAGTCCAAGATTCTTCTGTGAATGGAAGGCTGCTTTCCATTTAGAGAAGGAAGTGTCTAGATCCAACCCAACATGTCGAGCATTTGGATGGCAAGTGTTTTTATGAGTATTCTTTTCTTGCAATCCTAACAGGTAACTTGTAAGTTCTGTATGAAGTAAGTAGTTGCACAATTATCTTCTGTCTCTACAGCTATCCAGTATAGTCATCATGTGGTATTGATAAATGCAACATATAAATACAGTGACATCAAACTTGAAGCATGAAAGGGGCATAAAGAAGAACACCTGAAATAGAGTGCTATGGACATTTGTACAATAAAAATTACTAACATGCATGGAATACAATGAGCACGCTTGGGAGAAAATTGGGTTTTGATTGCATTTGTGCCAAAATAGTCCTTTCCTGTCCTCACTATTAGCAGGGAATACTACACAGGGTACAGTATGAATAAAGCTAGTAACCTCAGCTACACCTTATTAAAGATGTAGTCAGCTTTAGTACTTACTAGCTTGCTAAAAAACTGTTATATAAAAGCCTCGACTGATGGGCTATGGAGGCCCATTTGGTGATGATCATACCATATGGAAGATTGTGTAATGTAAGAGGAATAAATGGCATAGAGCATTAATTAAATGATTTTTTTTTTAAAAAAGAAAGAAACATAAATAAGTTTATGTGCCTCTGAAACTAAGAAAAAAGGGAAGGAGGTAACAGACCTGAATAAAGATGATCTAATCTTATGGAGCAGAGTTTGTGAACACATGCAGGGAAGTGAAAGTGTAAGCTTAACTATCAATGGAAGTTCTAAAATGTATGTCAGAATATGAATTGGTGTCACCGAGGGTACTGTAGGTATGCATGAAAGTAGGATTCCATGGACTGGTGACAGCTGCATGTTTCACTTGATAAAATAATGACAATGGAAGAACCAGATAGTAGTCTGGGGGAAAATGTGCAACATTCTAAATTGTGATCTGTGGGAAAGTAACTATTTTGTTAAGCGGCATGAATATATGAGTCAGGACAAAAACAGAGAATTGAGAAAATGTGACTGGGTCATCTGGAGACCCAAGAATGAATTAGAATGGTAACTGCTTAGTAGAGTATCTCCTTAGATACTCTGCTTAGAAAAGGTTTTAATTATTTTGAATACACTGTTTAGTAAGTACATACAACAAAATGAACAAAAAAGTATGATTGATTTCAGAGTTTCTGATGAAAGAGTGAAAGAATTAATGAAGGATATGGGGCAATGAAAGCTTCTGAATAAGAAACACACTACTATTGGTGGGTCTACTATTTGATGACACTACATCCCTCTTGGGGAAAAAGTGGATGTGAAAGAAGTGAAAAAAGAAGGATAAAAGTAGGACCACAGGAAGAAAAATATGAGTCCTGTATGAAAAAGTATAGGACAATATTAATCCCCCAAAATAATAAATACAAATGGATGTAAGGAAAGAGGATGCAGAAACTGCTTGGAACAGAATAAAAAAATATGTTTCAGAGCGTCATAGTAGTGTGTAGAGTTATACTATAGGAAGTATGAAAAATGATGTTTGATAGAACAATGAAGTGAAAGAGGCTGTGAATGAGAAAAATGCAGATAAGAGAATGACTGCTGCAAAAAATGAAGAAAAATATTGCAAGTTATTGAAGAAAAAAAGATAGTTGCAATGAATTTAATCAAAGAGGATAAGGAACAGTTAAGATTAAAAGAGGGAGAGAAAACAAAGCAATACTGATGGAAATTTTATTTTCAAAGTGGGTGAAAAAAGCTAAACAAGGAGCTTGCCAAATGAATTTAATTTTTAAAAAGTGATGAAATCACTGGGGATGAAACTAAGTGACGGAATGCTGGAAAGAGGATTTTAGAGTTTTTTATGGGAATGATACAGATACGTTAAAGAGTGGAATTAAAAGGAATATTATAAATATTAGTGTCCAAGAAAAAATGATGAAAAAGGAAGTCATAATGCTATAAGAATATTGAAAAATGGTAAGGCTGCAAGCATAGACAGTGTAACTGGAAAAACTGTTGTTTGCTTATGGAGTTCTTGTGCAATTTGTTTAACATTTGTGTGAAGACTGCTTCTGTGCCTGACAATTAGAAAAATGCTATTACTGTTTCTGTATACAACAGGAAAGATAGCAAAATTGATTGCAAAAATTACATGGGTATTAGTTTGTTAAATGTGCCTGGGAAAGTATTTGGAAAATTTTGACTGAAAGAGGTAAAAGGTGACAACAAGCAAAATTTGAAAAGTGCAATGTGTTTTTATGCTGGGCTAGGATTGCACAGATAAAATATTTGCTCCTTAGCAGGTTGTTGTGGAATGTGAGAAGACTTACTGCATGCATATTTTTTTCAAAAAAGCATATGATAAGGTGAATGGACTTGAATTATGGAACATGCTGCATGTATATGGAGTTGCAGGTTGGTTGCTGAATGTGTTAAGGGTAGAATATTATGAAAGTACAGCATGTAAAAGAAAAAAATGAAGTGCTCAGGAAATGGTTTAACACTGAGCAAGGAATGATATAAGGATATCTGATCTCTCCTTGGCTACTTAATGAGTTTATGGATAAATGTATAAGGACTGTAGTGATGACCATTTGTTGGGGATGTGATTGATGCCAGTTTTGGCTGAGAGCCCAAACAGTTTGCAGCAAATGTAATATTGCATATAAGGCATCAAGATCTGAAAATTAATGTATCAAAAACCATGACAGTAGTTTTTGATAAAAAAAATAGAGTGAAAAATGCAAGTTATATAGAAGTGCCAAAAACTAGAACAAATAGATGAATTTGTTGTTAGAATGTTTACTAAAGACAGAAAAATGGATGGAGAAAATTTAAGATGTGCAAATATTGGTTGAAAGTAGTATCTGGTCTATCCTGAGGAATGTTTGTTGAAAGAAATGAATATGTCTGCATTTAACAGTATAAAGTTGTCTGCCTTCTAACACAGAAGTAAGAAAGGGTATCATAAGAGAAACATAATTGTACGTTGAAAACAGTGGAGAATGGGTTACTTAAATGTGTGTGTTACATCAAGAAGAGATAGGATCAAGAATGAACAAGGACTGAATGAATATGAGCTGAATGTGAAAGTGAATGACTGTTATGGAAATAATATGTCAAAATGGTTTGGTCATGTAGAGTGTAAATGAGAACTGAATTCAAAATGAATGCATGAAGGAAAAGCAAACTGGAACAGTAGGAAGAAGACTGAGAAAATCACAGAATGAGTTAATGAGATTCTGAAAAAGAGATAGGTGGCATGGTTAAAGAACAAAAGGCAGTGGTAAAGGACATGATAGAAACAAGAACAGTTTGTGAAATTAGATGTTAACCAGACTAATGCCAGGTAAAAAAGTGAATTAGGAATGTTCACTTCTATGTGTTATCCATTTTATTTGTGTGTCATATAAAGGTAGTCCCCCGGTTAAGAGCACCCAGTTTATGGCGACCCATAGTTAAGAATGGAGCCTACTGTAGCAAATTCGAGTTAAATACACAATGATTCAAATTAAATACACAGTGATTCGAGTGTATTACATAATACTACTAATACAGTATTATACAATAATACTGTTACAGCTTACCTACACATTTGACTTAAGGAGAGACCTGGGGAATGGAACTCGTTTTTAAACTGGGGAGTACCTGTACCACTGAAATGGCGTATCATGTAACTTGATACTTTCTGAAGCAAGCAGAAGACCTCTGAGTCTGAAGATAAATTAAACAGATTCATAGGCACGTATAGGAATGTCTTTCTTAGGTAAGGTAAATTTCTAAAACAAATATTATGGAAATGTTTTGGAAAAAGAGACACATTTTCAGCCCTGCTAGGTAGACCAGACCAGGAAATCAACTCCACAGAAAGACTAGAACTACCTTTATTGAGACTGGCTATAAAAAGAGAATCAGGCAAGTCTGATTGTGCTATGCTTCCCCCTTCCTTCTTATACTCCTGGGAATCAGGGAGGTATCTGCCTGAGTTACTTCTAAATATTATCTTGCATCCCAGGGCTTAAAAAATGTTTTGGCCCCCCTTGCCTAGGTAACAGTTCTTGCATATTTCTGACAAGGTCATCTACCTTACTCTATACATACATCTCAATTTGTGAATAAAAAACATTGTAAGAAATCAGCCTTGATAATCACAATGAGTTAACTTTTTGATGAAGCCTAGGTAGCCAAAAAAAAAAAAATCATTAATACTGCATGAATATCATGCTAAGCGTATTAGCTCACTTGACTGCAGATCTGGAAGCATGCGAAATATACCATATGGATATGTGTGAAAATCACTTCATCAAGTTTGTTGCAGATACGCCTTTTTTTTAAAAAGATAGTGCTTAATTCTAACTCTTTGCAAGCTATTTTCATTAAGATTCATATCCCTAGCATATGAATCCACAGAAAAAAACACTATATGACACATCTAACACCTTCTAAGGTTTGCCAGAAAATTTTTACAGACTTTAGAATAGCAAAAGACTTCAGATGTAGTCACTGTAACTTTAGGCTTGCTTATATAACAGACAAAATGGTCAGTTAATACTGGCAGACTGCAGTTAAATGGCTATTACCTTGCAAATGAAAATTTAAGAGAGTTATTCATTTTTACTAAAAACATATTCATAAATATAACACATAACAAGTTGAACGAGACATATATACCTTGCTCTTCACTCCCTTCTTTACAAAGACTAGAACTCTGACCAAGACTCAGACTGATATCATCAGAAGTCTTTGCAGTGTCTGTATCACCTAAGTGATAGAAATAAGGTATTAGTTCAGAAAACACCACCCTGTAAGCCTAAGAAGAAAACAGATTTTAAGAAGTGTTTTTAATTTTCTGCATATAATTGTAATGATATGAATTGTACACTCTAGTCTGTTAGTGCATCACATCAGCAGGGACACTGTTGCTAACTCCTGTTGTACTGATGTAAGACTACACTGTCACAGCAGCACAACTAAGAGAACCAAAGGATAATAGGGTACCTCCATCACATAAAATTATATTACATTGCTGGCTAATATGCCTGCATAACAACAAAACTGATCAGAGAAAAGACATATCATGGAAGACTAAGAGAGAGTTTGGTAGTGTTATATCCACTATTCAAGAAGCTGCAGAATTTACAACATGGAGGCCAGTTGCAGTCTGTGAGACCTCATCATATTCAGGGCTTACCTTACTGTTTCCAGTGAATAGCCCCAGATAATCCCTATAAGAGGATAGCATGACAACTCTCATATATGGTATGGTGAGGATATACATTGCAAATGAAATCCCAAATGGTCGGTACATCCTAAAACTAAAATAAGTCTTACCCTTCACAAAAGAATGAAAGAGCACTGAATATTACCACTAAATGCACTGTATGCAATGATACTGATCTGGTCTGCCATTCCTGAATCCATCCTTCCATACAAAATCACGCACATTGAGTACAGAGAGCAATCAGCAGGGACTTGGGACATGTTTCAATTAAATTCTTTATATCAACAAAGCAAGTTCATCCAACATTATATCCCCAAGAAGATGTGGCTCACCTTATGTATTCTTTAAAGGAAACTAAGTTGAAGGTCCTTACCCATATGAAATGATGAAGATGGGAAATCAACTATATGTGTTCTTGGTGGCCACCCCATGCCCTGAAATTCTCTACATTGCCTCCTAAGTTAGGAAATGCCCCTAACTACTCAGTTTTCAGAAAGTGCTTAAGACTTTATTACTTTCTGGATGCTGATGATGGAAGTTAGTTCATTTTGTGGCATTAGCTGTGCTTTATTTCTATTATTAAACTACCTAGGCTCACAAAGTAGGTGGTATATAAAACTTTATAAATATCCTTGTATAAATAAATAAAACAGGTATATTTTCAAATGAAACATCAAGGTAACTTTAACCAAAGATTGGAACAGAATGAGTGCATCAAATAATATTGCAAGGAGGGGAAACCTGTATGGAAGCATTGCTATAACCTGACTCACTCCAACTTGATGAACATGGAAGATGTGATCTGAAGAAACGTTATAGAGACTGGGTTGATAGTTCAGAAATATTTGTTTGTTTGTTTGCTTAATATATCACATTTATATAGCCACCCATCTCACACAAAGCCACTCTGGGTGGTGTACAACAATTAAATAAAATATAAAATAGGTAAAAACAATCATTATAAAAGATAAAAAGTGATTATTAAAATACAACATCATCAAAAAAAATTTAAATTTTAAAATATACAAACCCCACAGAGAGAGAGAATATTAAACATAGTGGAGCCATCTAAGAATGCCTCCAGTTCACAAAGACCCCCAGGCCTGATGACATAACCATAATACCAGTTATATTAGGAAACAAGAATTATTACAGAGCTTAAGATGAAATAATGCCATCTTTAATTACTGGTTATATTGCCAAAGGTATGAATATAGTTGATAAATATCATTACATATAAAATAACTAGAGGTGTGTAAAGTTCAAACAATTTTTCTACTTGGAAATCCTTTGGAAGACACTCTAGAATAATAGGTTTCATCCTGGAAGAAGGATGCAAGTGCAATAGGGAAGCAAAGGGAAAAAATTCCTAAAATATCAATTTTAGGGTGAAAAAAAATATTCTATAATTTTCAGTAAAGTTACTCTGTATTTTTTGTCAGGCCTCAAGGATCAATAAGAATTTTTCTGTTTCTTATATTGTGCTTTATTTTCCACACATCAACAATATAATGGAAAAGCTTTTTAATACTAATAGGACCTGCTGAGGTTATTCAAAGATGAAAATTAGAAGGTTACCTTTAATGGTGGCTGCAGTTCCACGACGAGATAAACCTGATCCAATCTAAAATGAAAGAGATAACCAAATGAGTTGCACAAGTGAATTTACCTGCCTAGGCAAAGTTGGCATATCTGGAGTAAATACCTGAAATCCCCTTTACGATAGTAAGGGAATGGTACTTTTAAAGTTTTTTTAAAAGGTTCTTTTGTAAACACAAAGAATTAATCATATAATTGCTTTTTTCTCTTAAACCACATTGCTATTTATGCTCCTAACCGGGCCTCATAAAATGTACTCTGGAATTTTAAATAATGTGCATTATTAATAGCACTCCCAACAATTAATGCATAAATAACTGCAATTAGGAATGCATATAGACATCCAAATATATGCACACATAATGATTCAGAGAATCAAATCAGCTCAGGATTAAACAACTACAAAGAACAGCAACAAAAATGACTATTTCATTGTCAATAACTTTAACAAATTATGCTAATAAAACAGAGAAATATTTCTGAAGGATTAACAAATTTAAGATCTTGCAGTATACAATAGCTTAAATTCCTGGAATTGACAGAAAGGGAAGAAAGCAAAAGGGTCCTCAGTAAACTAAAACAAATGAAGATAAAACTAAAAATGACCATGAACTTTAAAATGTATTATTATCTGGATAATATTTCAGCTGAACTTAACAAAAAAAAATGGTGTATGTCCCCAAACAGTTCTTACCTGGTTATTTAGATCTAGGCCAGCAAAAGAATTTCGTGAACTGCATCCTACTGGTGGAGTGGCTTCTCGAATAAACTCTGACATCTCAATCCCTCCACCTGGATCACTAAAAGATGAAGAAATTTAAATGGTTATCCATGTCAAATTACACCAAAGGATATATTTGAAGTTTCAATTGCTAGTATTGCTAATAATCAGTTCATCTCCTGAAAACACACAAAATTCAATACAGGTAGTCCTTGACTTACGACCATTTGTTTAATGACCATTCAAAGTTATGACAGTGATGAAAAAGTGACGTACGACTCATCCTCGCACTTACAACCATCGCAGCATCCCCGTGGTCATGTGATCAAAATTTGGGTGCTTGGCAACTGGCACATATTTACGATGGTTGCAGCATCCTAGGGTCACATGATCACCATTTGCAACCTTCCCAGGGGGCTTCCAACAAGCAAAGTCAATGGGAAAGCCAGATTCGCTTGATGACCACATGATTCGCTTAACAGCCGCAGTGATTTGCTTAACGACTGTGGCAAAAAAGGTCGTAAAATCAGGCATGACTCACTTACTGATCTCATTGCTTAGTGATGGAAGTTCCGGTCCCAATTGTGGTCATAAGTCAAGGACTACCTGTATTGCAATCCAAAATCTTTATTTAGCAAAATATTAAAAGAGTTGTTCAATTTCTTCTATATCCAAATAAGTATAAGCTTTTTTACACCTAAATTATTCTTCATAAAAAAGTACCCAGGATGTCAGAACAGAAAAAGTAATTATGCCCTCAAGAAGGCAAAAGATCTCTGAACTCATAAGGGTCTGAATAGGTATACTAAAGGACACCAATGGACATATAGTAAATGATTTAAAAGAGATCAAACTAAGTATATTGAAACACTGTACAGTAGAGAATTAAACATCCAAGATACCTTAGAAGATATTCCCTACTTGCAAGAACCTCTAGAACTAGAAAATGAAGTTAGATCAGCACTCCAGTCATTACCAAGTTGAAAGGCCACAGGAACTGATAGGATACCCACTGAAATATGGCAAGCAACAGAAGAAGAATCAGTAAAGGGTCTAACCAAGCTGGAGAATGATACAGTGGCCAACAGATTGAAAGACGTCAATCTACATTCCAATGCCCCCCAAAAAGGAGAGTTAACAGAGTGTGCAAACTATCATACCATATCCTTAATTTCATATACTAGCAAAATAATGCTTAGGATGATCCAACACAGATTAGAGCCCTACATGGAAAAAGAGATGCCAGATGTTCAAGCTGGCTTTAGAAAAGGTCAAGAAACCCAAGACATTATTGCTGATGCATGCTGAATAATTGAGAAAGCCAAAGAATGCCAAAAAGAAGGTATGTGCTTCATTGATTATAGAAAGGCCTTTGATTGTGTTGATCACGTCAAGCTGTGAAATGTTCTCATAAACATGAGAATCCCAAAACATCTCATTGTCCTCATGAGAAACTTATATACAGGTCAGGAACCCATAGTATGGCAGAACATGGTGAAGCAAACTGCTCCAGCTTGGCAAAGGAGTGTGACTCTCCCCTTATTTATTCAACCTATATGCTGAATATATATCTTAAGGGAAGCCGGACTGAAAGAAGATGAGCATGGTTTTAAAATTGGAGGAAAAAACATCAATAACCTGTGCTATGCTGATGACATTACCCTGAAAGCCAAAAATGCAAAGGATCTACAAGCTTTAGTAATAAAAATCAAGGAGCACAGTGAAAAAATAGGACTAAAATCAAATATAAAGAAGATAGACCAAACTAATGATAACAGGTAGGACAACCAGCCTTAGAATTAACAATGAAGATACTGAAGTGGCAGATAGCTTCTGCCTTTTAGGATCAACCAGCAACAGTAAAAGAACAAGCAGCCAAGAAATACGCCACAGACTAGCACTTGGTAGGGCAGCCATGAAAGCCTTGGAAAAAATATTCAAATGCTATGATATATCTGTAACTACAAAGATCAGAATCATGCAAACCATGGTGTTCCTTGTGACACTCTATGGAAGCAAAAGTTGTACTTTGAAAAAGCAAGATAAAAGGAGTATTGACCCTTTTGAATTTTGGTGTTGGAGAAGACTCCTGAGAATACTGTGGACAGACAAGAAAACAAACCACTGAATCATAAACAAATCAACCCAGAGTTCTCATTTGAGGCACAAATGACCAGGCTCAAATAATCCTATTTTGAAAACTTTATGCAAAGACCCAGCTCCCTGGAGAAGGCTCTAATGCTGGGAAAGGTGGAAGGAAAGAGGAGAAGAGGATAACTAGCAGCAAGGTGGATAGACTCAGTTATAGCAGCGATGAATGCACCATTGGAAGACGTGAAAGACCAGGTTAGGGACAGATCATCATGGAGAAAATCTATCTATCTGGTTGCTAGGAGTCGAAAATGACTTGATGGCACATAATCAATCAATCAATCAACATTTCAAACAGATGGAAGTTTTAGTTCTTACAATTACCTTTTGAAACTTCAAACAGAGATAATAAGCGTTCCTTTGCTTCCATGACCTAACAAAAGCCTAAAGAAACATTCTCATCCACATACTTGTTGTTGGGATGGACAAATGATAAACTCTTGTGATACATTACTAAAAATAAATAATAGAATCATAAGTGTTTGAAGCAGCAATTTAAGCTCCTGAATCTAACCCCTTGCTCCATGTACAAATCCAAATTAAAGCACTCCTAACAGATGGCTGTACTTGACAACATCCAGCAACACCCAGTGAAGGGGACACATCACTTTCTAGACAATTTTCTGTTCAACTGCTCTTGGTGATTGGTTTTTGTTTTTGTTTTGCTAATACTGAGTTGAAATCTGTCTTCCTCTATTTTAAATCCATTATTCTGTGTTGTAATGTTATCTTGAAGAACAGGTCTTAAGTTCTTTTGTGGGGTACCCTTTCAGGTATTTGAGGAGAGTTCTCATATTTCCCCTCAGTCTTCTCTTCTCAGGGAAATATACCCAGCTACTTCAAATTCTCTTTATAGGTTTTGATTTCTAGTACCCTAATTATTCTCATTCTCTTTCTCTGAACCTATTCTAGTTTGAATAAATCCTTCTTAAAGTGTGGTGCCCAGAAGTGGGCACAGTATTTAAAATGGGGCCTAACCAAAACAGAACAAAATGAAGAATTTTGTCTGTGACTTGGAAACTATACTTCTGTTGATTCAGCTTAAATTTCTATCTTCCTTTTTGCAACCACATCATCCTGCTGACTCATATTCAGTTGCACTCAACTACTATTCCAAAATCTTTTTCTCAGGTACTGTATTATTGTCAAGCCAGATATCCTCCATGCTATATTGCTGCATTTGATTTTTGTTTTTCAAAAGTACAGCTTTGCTGTTTTCTGTATTCAATTTTATTCTATTACTTTCAGTTCATTTCTCTAACCTATCAAGATTGCTGTTGGCTATTAGCTATCCCACACATTTTTGTATCATCTGCACTAATGAATACAGAAGAGCAGAGCACTGAACCATATGGCTCCCTGTTTGATACTTTTCTCCTGTTGATGATGAATCCTTGATGAGTATGATTTTTGAGCCAGTTATGTACCCACTTAACTGTCATGTCTTTGAACCCCACCAATCAAAATCTCATGGGTATTTTAAAGCAGCCTCTGAATAGGCATTAATGTTCTCAAGATTACTATTTTCCTCTGTATTCTCAGCAGGAAATCAGTTGCTGGGACTGGGAGGAATGAAAAAACAAAGTTTCCCATACACTCACTACAGGCACTTTTTGTGGCAAAAGGCTATATGTACCTGCTCATTTGTGCTGAAAAATGAAGGGACCTATTTGAAAATCTTGGGTTTCCAAGTGCTACTCTACACTCTGGCCTATATAATGGCTCCAGAATGAATATATTCATAAGGAGCCCACAAATTTAAGCATAATGCAACCCACATTAACACATAATGATTTCAGCTCAATAATCAGGAACAATTCTGTGCATTATTTTCTACCACTTTCAACAGAGCCAAGTTTTAAGCACTCATTGAAATGCAAGGAGGGCCATACAAATCTTTTATAATTCTTTTATTCTACTCTATTTTCAGTTACTATAAATTGGAATTTATTTATTTATTTTAATTTATATAGCCACACCTCTTGCCAAAGTGATTCTAAGTGGCAAACAAAATATAAAATTCAACAATATAAATGAAGAAGGAAGGAAGGAAGG